ATCAAAACTGAAATTATCATAAAGAAAAAAGAATTCATCTCAAATAAAATTGGCATTCAAGTATAACATTGTAGAAAATCTCTTCAATGCACTTGCTAATATATCAATAGACCAAATATTGAGCATGTTAAAGCAACAATGTAATTTCACTGCTGTGTTGAAAAGACCTTACATTAAACAAGAAGTCAATTATATGAAAGTAGAAAGAAGAACAAATGCTACAAGGTGTAAAGTAAAGATCAACAGACAAGTGATAATGGCAACTGCTGATACAGGAGCTGCTGCGAATTTCATGTCAAAAATACTCATGAAATGATTGGGACTAAAGATTGAAAAGAAATTGACAATATCAATTATTTCAATCACAGGTATCAGAACAAGAATGTTAGGATGCATTAATAGTTTAAAAATTATTATTTGTGATATTTCAGTTCCTTGTCCATTACAAATAATCGATTCGAATAAAGAAACTCTATTATTAGAAAGAGATTGATTAGACAACAAATAAAAAGTTACTTTTCAGTACAAAGGCAGATTAATCAAGGTCCCTATGGTAAAGAGTAATAATAATGATGAATTGACTAAACCAAAGGCAAAAAGTGATAGTGATATGAATAGTGATAGTGGAAAGAATGAATTATTAGATGCTTTACAATATGAAAGTTAAGAGGTAGAAGAAGTTGAAGAATACTTTATCGAAGAAATTGTCAGTGAAGAAGAATTCCTAAAATTACAACCAGAAGATGTAAATCCAGCAACTTATTTGTTACAAGCCAAAGAATATATTGGTGATGATGACAACAAACAGTACCAACAAGATCTGAATGATCAAAGTAAAGAAATAGAAGTGTCATCCGAGAATATAGAAAAAAAGAAAGAACAAGATTGTTCACAACCAGCAATATAATCTGAGAAGAAATCCAATGATGATAATACCAAAGACAAACTTGATTGTTCTGTATTCCTGATACAAGTAAAAGAATTACTTATCAGCATCAAGGAACATGAAAAAGAGCCTATTTAAGAAAAGATTGATGAGATTAGTATTAACGAAGAGTTGGATATATTGCAGCAAGAAGAAGTAAAGAAACTGTTGTATCAAGAAAGTAATATATTCACAACATCAATTCAGGAACTAGGATGTACTAATAAAGTTCAACATGAGATCGATACAGCAGATACTAGATTGATCAAGCAAGCTATATATCATATGGAATCTACTATAAAGGACTTCATAAAACAAGAACTTAGCCAGCTAAAAGAAAGAGAACTAATTAATGAATCGTATAGCCCCTGGTCTTTACCAATTATAGTCATGCCAAAGAAGCAAGATAAACTATGATTATATGTTAATTACTGAAAGCTAAACATGATTACCAAGAAAGACATGTATCTGTTATCTTGTATAGATGATTTGTTAGAACTATTTGTGAAGGCAAAATGGTTCAGTACTTTAGATTTAATGAGCAGGTATTGACAAATTGCCATGAAGGAAAAGGATCAAGAAAAGACAGCTTTCATAATACCAATGGAAATGTATGAATTTAACATTATGTCATTTGGATTATGTAACATTTCAGTAAAGTTCCAAAGACTAATGAACTAACTTTTGAGAAATCATATTGAAAACTTTATAGCAATATATCTGGATGATATAATTGTTTTTTCTAATACATTCATAGAACACTGCAATTATTTAAACTTAATTTTTACTATATTTTGAAAAGCAAATCTAAAGTTAAACTTTAATAAATATGCTTTCTTCAAGTAAGAAATTGAATTTTTAGGTTATGTCATTGATAGTGATGGAATCAGGCCAAACAAAACAAAAATAAAGAAAATTTGAAATTTTCTAGCACCACAGAACCTTAGACAATTGTGCAGTTTTATAGGATTAACACTCTATTACTGGTGATTTATCAAAGGTTTTGTAATGATTGCCTGATCATTATATTACCTAATGAGAAAGCATATTAAATACAAATGGAAACAGGAGCAAAATCAAGCATTTGAAATGTTAAAACAATATTTAATAACAGTACCAGTATTATGATATTCTGATTTTGATAGAACATTTTACATTCATACCAATGTATCAGAAACTGGACTTGGTGTTATTAGTGCAAAAGAACAAAAATGATAGAGAATATATTGTCTCTTATACTAGTTGAGAACTTACTAAATATGAACGAAATTATACTGCTTTGGAATTAAAGTATTTAGCAGTATTATGGACTGTAAAACACTTTCATCACTACTATGAGATAAATCTATTTATAGTAGTTACTGATCATAGCATGTTGCAATAGCTAAAAACAGTGAAGTTAACAGGAAGATGAGCAAGATGGATTTTATACCTTCAGTCCTATAATTTTACTATTAAATATCAGAAAGGGAAGAAGCATGGCAATGCTGATGTATTGTTTTGACTTTAAGCAATTAATATTATAAAAATTGAAAAAAGGAATTGAAAAAAAAATTAAAAATAATTATAATAAAAAAAAATTATTTATTTATTTGAACACGATAATAGTAGAATAAGCAAATAGAAATAAATGTTTTTATTAACATTTCTTTTTCTTATTTATATGCTAGCAAGATAGACACAGAACACTATAGACAATTAATAAAGTATTTGAAAACACGAAAATTGTCAACTATGCTTAAGGCAGAAGAATAATAAAGGCTATAAAAGAAGAGCAAATTTTATGAATTTAAGAATGAGATATTATACAAAAAGGATCAAAAAACAAATTGTTTATTATACATTAAGCAGAGGCATGAATTTGATCCAATACTTTTCATGACACATCATTATTTTCTAAGAGGTTACTTTAGTTGAGATATAATGTTCGAAAATATTCGAAAGATGTACTTTTGATTGCAGATATACGAGGACATTGAGGCTTATATACAGAAGTGTGATCAATACAAAAAAGTTTGGTGTTTGAACCATTGCACCCTTTATTGGTAGAAGCATTATTTCATCAAATCAGAATTGATTTTGTAGGACCCTTACCTAAGACTGTGAGATCCAAATGATATATTATTGTCACCATGAATTTTATAACAAGATGGCCTGAAGCCATAGCAGTAGAGAAAACTGATGCTAAAATGGTAGCCAACTTCTTGTACAATAATATCATCTGTAGACATGGATATCCAAAGAAGATTGTAACAGATTGTGGAATGTATTTTAATAACAACATTATAAAAAAGCTTATACAAAGACTCAATATTTAATACAAGATATTAATATTTTATCATTTGCAAATAAATGGATTAATAGAATACTTTAATTGAATCTTGTGTGAAGCAATAGCAAAGTTAGTAGAGAAAATAATGGACTGGAACTTACTTATATCATCAATACTCTTTGTGTATCAAACAGTTAAAAACATCACAACCAAAATGTCTTCATTTTATCTAGTATATGTTAGAAAAGCATGACAGCCCATACATCCTAGTACAACAGAGAATTTGTTAGAAGGTACCATAATTTAAAGAATATATGAGTTATTGGAGCAACTTCCAAATGTATATGATATTGTGAAATGTAAAGTCTACACAGCACAAGGTTGACAAAAAGAATATCATAATAATCGTGAAAAACTGTTGAATGAATACAATATCAGGGATAAAGTTTTAATGTATCATGCCACTCAAGAATATTCTAGAAGCAGTAAATTCGAAAAAAAATGAAAAGGCTTATACTATATTCATACTGCTTACCAAATCATGTATACAAGTTGAAAATAATGGATGGGAAAGTCTTACTTATACCAATTAATACGAAAATCTTGAAACTGTATCAGGAATAAGAGAAAGGTTGAAAACTTTGTCATGGATATCAAAGATAAGAGGTAAGGAATTGTTAGCAGGAAAGTAGTATAGGGTATAATAGTATTACAGTATATGTTTTGGCATATCTTATGCCCCAATTTTCAATAACAATAAGTAATAGTCTATAGCGATACTTCATAATTTTAGAGTTTATATTGGTTATAGTTTCAAATAGTTTATTAGCTAGCATAAAGAAAATAAGTTGATAGTCTATTTAGCTTAGTCAGATAGTATAACATAACATCAGTAGAGAGACATGACATACTATTATAAAAATAAGAGAAGGGATGAAAATTGTGAGGAAACATAGCACATATGATATAGTACATACAAGATACAATGATTGCCTTAATTAAGAACTTCCTAATTAAGATGTGTGATCGATGTTGTGAAAAGAGTAAAGACTAATTAGTTTATCTAATCCAGTACTTGTCACAAACGAAGGATGATAGGGAACTATAAAGAAATGTAGTAAAGGTTTTGTCAAGGGAAGCGACAATGGAAAGTAAAATAAATTTGTAAAAGATATGGGAATTTTGAAGGATTTGAATTATATTATGAATGTTTGAAAAAGTGAAAAGTATAAAAGTTTGTATTTTTTCTGTAGTAATAAAAGGTGAAAAAAAATTTATAGATTAATTTTAGATGTTTGGTAAAGAAGTTGAAGTCTTTTAATTTGTTGAAAAGGAAGATGATGATTTGAGATTATAGCCCAGGATTCATTCAAGATCACTGCCTAGTAATATCAATTCCCGTTAATGACTAGAGCTGATAACAATAACCAATGCGCTATAAAAAACAGGTAGAACTCATCACTTGGTTTTATATCCTTAACGGTTATGGATTTTTCTAATCTCAAAGCTCTTGCATATAGTATCCTCAAAATCGTAGGAGATACTATAATTCAAGAAATCGAAATCTCAGAAATCCCTATATGCTCTATATCACCAAGGATATCTTAGTACTGTAGTTGGTTATAATGCGTTTACAACACTCGAATGTGGACATATCTTCCATAGACTTTTTATAGAGAAAAAACCTCTACTCGCCATACCAAATAAGTGCCCCTCCCCTAAATGTGAAAAAAGCGCCGAGATTATTCATTGGAGTCCAAAGCGATCTTCTCAATCAAGTGGAATTTCCGTTCGGCTGACAGAATGGGTAGTGATCTTATATTGACATATCCAATGTTTCCGCATAATGATCAAACGGAGTCGCCGTTATTAACTGAAGGTAATCGTGACTTTATTCAGTGGGGTACAGAAAAAACGAATTATGAAGTCGGTCGATGAATCACCTAATAAAAAGAAATCCACAAATAGAGATTATTCTCCCATGTTGAAAAGACTTATTTAAGAGCTTTCAACTGATGACCCCGGGGATGAAAAAACTTTGCAAGCAACCTGAATCCGCTTCCGAGTCCAATACAACATCAGTTAACTTCCTAAATCTATATCAAAAAAATCGTAGATGCTGAAAGTATTAATAAAAAAACATTCCAAGACGTTATACGCCACTATTTTCACTTTGGAAAGCTTTTATGAATGGTTCAATCACTACAGGAAAGAATATACAAAGCGCACATCTGAGGGAAAAGTTGCTGATGATATTAGAAAACAGATTCCAAATACGATTAGTGAAAGCTTACTTCGAAAGACAAAAGAAAGGTACTGAAAATTCGCGACCTTTTTAATGAATTGGGGAAGACAGAATTAAGCGAATTAAGACTTTTACAGCTACAACACTAACTGAATTATCTCAGGATGATATTAATTATGTATTGGCAAAGATTTCGGTATAAAGCATTACTCTATCGATATTATACTGCGCCACATACTGTATTCATGCGATCCAGGATTACGATCATGTAATTAGTTTTAGCACTGTTATACTTTAATAAACTTGTTGCATCGGGATTATTTCTTTAAACGTGTAACTTTGCATCGGAAAAATAAAATAAAATGTTTACGTACTGTATATGCCGATTTCGCATACATAATAACGTCACTTTTTGGGATTTAATAAATTTTTGAATAAAAACGCAAGCACCTATCGGATTAACCATGTTTTATTTTAAAGACCTTACCATATGTTACTAACAACTATACTAAATTACACATTTTGTGTTTGTAAAACTCTTTGTTGAATTTCATATAAATCGATGACAAAATTAGGGGTGGTGATTGTATCAGGGACTGCGATGTTGTAACCAACAATATTCGGGGTTCTGATGTTTGTAGCGGGGTTTGTAGCTATTGGGGGATCCCAGAAAACATCTGCAACTGGAATAGTCACTTGGTAAGCAGGGATTCCTGGACCGGTGCAAGTGGTAGGGGTAGTAGTACCATACTGTAAAGTACCAAAATCCCACTATCATATCGTCAAAGTTACACTTTAAGCATCTGACACTTGATTATAAAAAAAATACTAACAATAAATAAATCATTTTTACCATTTTTACAGATACTCCTGATAGATTTGGATTTGTTACTGCTGTAAACCCTGCTGGGATTGGATTTTGACGCGACCATAACCTGGCCTAATATTTTTTATAAAAAAACTCTTAAGAGATGAAACTATAGAAAAATAAACAAGTATCTAGACATACCAACATCGATCGATGAACGCGTCCTTGATGACTCCTAATAAAATCAATTTTGATACCAAATACGCATCGAACATATTGTTCACACATCCACGTCTCACATCTTGTATTCCAAAAATCAATGTCCCGAGTGTCAGCTATTTCAACAATGATTCTTGCGTGAGAAAACCCCTAAGTAATAATATTATAAATAATATTAGAAAGTGACACAAAAATAAATAATATGATAATACATACAAACTCAAAGTACATTTTTGTCACTGGGGGGAGGACCAGGATGCGGAACACGAGGTCGTGCAACATGATCAGGACTTGGATAAATCGCGACGTCTGGTGCCATCTTTTGCCCATGGCCGATTGGATTATAATGGTCTATATGAAGTGTTATTGCAAGCTATAGATCAAGCAGACTAAAGGAAATCTCTTACATGTTTGACCGGTAGTTATTATCGGACCAAGCATTACGCCATTGTTCGGAATTTCAAAGTATTTAAGCAACATCGAAGTAATTGCTCCACGCTCCGTGTTAGCAATTTCAATAATATATACGTTTTTGTTTTCCCAATAAAATTTGTATCCGGTCGATTCGTTGTGGTCAATAAAAGTATTATACTCTTTCACTGAAACATTCGACCCAATCTGAAAGGGCAAACTACGAGTCATACAAGTCAACATTGAGCAAATCTTAGGAAACCTAGTTGGGAACACTTACTTTTCTTCTCCTAAGGAAAAATTTGGTAACTCGGGATAGCTATGGACTGTTTTATTAACTTTATGTTTAATTTTCTTTGCTTTCTTTACGACTGATTGCCAAGCACCCATTTTGGAAGAGTAGAACGTCGAGTACACTGATCTTTTTTTTTTTTATCATCACATCATTTGACGCAATATTACGTAATTAAAAAACTTTTGAACTCGTATAAATAAAATCTGACTCTTTAACGAAACTTGAATTGGAGATTTGATGCTCTGAATCACCCTCTGCAACCTCCTTATCACAAAATGATACATCTAAACAAATGTCAGAAAACGCATCTGATATATCTGATATCGCCCCAAATCCCGGCATATGTCGGAAGTCGAAGACTCGTAAATCATTGGAAAATAAGGTGATCAATTAATTCCTGGTTTATTTATGTCATATGGTAAAGGCAAATTTAATAATTTCCATTATCATAGGCCAAGAATCCATAAAAGTCATATGACAATTTGCTTCGATTGCTGGAAACTCTTAAAAATTGATGACGTACAACCAAAGAAATAATTCCACTTCACTAGAAATAGGTATGTCGAAATCATTGAGTCAGAAGATTTAATGCAGAAACATTGGGATCACGAATGTGATAAACCTAAATCTCGAAATGGATATGCAAAATTATACAAAGAGCACTTCGCCGATTCCAAGAAAAAGAGCCATCAAATGCACGACTTGCATGGAATAACTTACCAAATGATATACTCCAGATGATGAAAAGTTTCTAGGTGTAACAAGGCATGAAGTGAAAAATCTTCAGACTCAAGAAACAATTTAATCAGTGGCGTACTAAATGGATTTAATTATACAAAAACAATCCTATGATGCGCAGTTTTGTTAGTATAAAGAATATTATATTCCAGATAATTGGATTCTAAAAAGAGACAATTATGGGTTAGATTCCAAAAGTGACTTTAGAAATAGAAGTATAAATTATATAATTTGGTTACATAAATTATTTATTTAAAATAAACCCACCTAAAGTATTCCTGAGGGATAGTACTTTAGACTTTATTTCGTTATCCCCGAGGGCTGGTAATATTTTTTACTTTTATTTCTATATGCATTTATTTTTTCCCGACACAAAAAACCCCTCGGTACAGATAGAATTTATTTATTTTTCAACATCTACTTCAACTTCAATCAGTCTGGATACTGATAGCTATTTCATTGGAGAATAGTAGCGAATAAGATGTTAAAACCATCACTCTAACTTCAAATCGGCAGGATCGATCAGCTTCTCAAATAATATAAGAAGTTGCAAATAGATGTATTATATTAATGCGTCAATAAATAATGAAAAAAATAAACAATTATTGTGATTATCAAACCTTGGTTTATTCATCTAATTTTAATGGTGTGTTCCAACCAAGACATACACTTAAAGGATCGTCTATAGCCTTAGTAAAATCAAAAACCATGAATTCCCGATCCGCAAATGCTTATCAATAATATTAGACGCTTTTTTTCGGATTATCCATATATTGTCGCACGATTCTATGAATGTCGTCTCGGCTCTCGGCTCCTAGAAATAGGGCAAGACGGCTTAAATTTTCACGAATAATTTTAGGAGTTTGGGTATATTTCTGTGATACATATATTGGTGAGGTATTTTGATACCGACCACTAATGAAATAAGTAACAAATCGTTCTTGTACCTTTTTCGATTCGGCACATAGATCCTCAAATACTACAACTGTACTTCGCTCTGGAGAGAATTTAGTTATATCTGGAATTTTATCTGGAGATATCGATATGGTTTAGGGGCATTCGCAAATATCTGAAAGCTATTTTGTACAAGTTGCCATTTCGGCTTAAAATGTTTGTCTATTAACACGAGGTCATCGTTTTTGATATTACAATTTCCTTTCTTACCTTTAAACATTCGTTGTAATTTATTACCTAGCATAAGATTAATTACCATATTGGGTTTTCCGCTATTGAAGCCACCTGTCACGAGGAGTCTAAAAGGCCAGTCGGGGGCATATTTGTTAGATTTCATTCGTTCTGAGGATTTGTTTGATATCTCGTCGATATTATATACAAATATGGGCATTTTTTCTTCTTTCATTCCGAATAAACTAAGAATACTAATCTATTACAGTATATAGAAAAAATATTAATCGAACCAGATAAGCAATTACAGTAAGTTTTACTTTTATTCTATAAGACCCAGTTCTTGAAGGATATAAAGTGGCTGAACTTCGTTTTCCAGAAATAGAGAGACGACTATTTCGAAAAAATTATTGCAGATCTACATGTCAAGTATAATTATACAGGAGGTGGAAATCCTGCCACCAGTTTAAACCACCTAACCTGTTAATCCATTTTTGTCAAAGGGTGTATAAGATAACCATTTTATACAAGCCAATCTAGAGACACTCCAATCACCTCTTTTCATCAAGGCTAAGATATGATCTTGTTTTGTTGAAAACATATGTTAATATTTTTTGATAGATTATCTTTTCATTTCAAGTTTTTGCTTATGCAACTATGGATAATAGTTCAGTATATGTATCTACTTTATAGTAAATATTTCAAAACTATAATCCTTAATTAATACAAACTATCAAATTTAAGATATAAATGTCAAATAGAACATGACACTATGATCTTCTAATAAACACTTCAAGAAAATTTGGTTGGCTTAAGTTACCAAATCTAGAAGTATAAATGTCAAGTAGGCACAACTCCTATATATAGATAGTGTAATGGTATATCGGCGAGTCTGTCACTCACTCTGGCAGAGATTCGCATAACCGTTACTAGGGTAAGTAAACGAAAGGTGATTTGAGGCGTGTTTATTTGACCGAGTCTTTATTAATTTTCTTTTACTCGCTGTGTCTATTTGTTTCACAACTGTCCTATATCTCTTATATTTTCTATGTTATTTTATACTTCTTTTTTGTTACATCTAGCTATGACATCTTGGTTATGGAATAATAAGCACTAATAATAATGTCATGACTAAGCTGGATAACATAATTCTTTTTACAATCCTCCCCAACTCTCTTTTTATTACCTAATATTTCATAGTTATCGGGGTACTAACATGACAATTGGTCATGTAACGAACGTTGCATTCCAATTTTACCTGTTACAATAGTATAAACTATTCATTTACACCACATGTTATTGGTTACATCAATGATCTCTTCCAAGATTTTTTATTTTGTATTAATATGTTATGCTATGGAGTCTGCTGTATCAGGAAAGGATATATGCTTTTATCAGAGTTAAACCAGAAACTTTTCCTCATACAATCTTTTCTGTTTTGATCTGTTTTTAGCTCATGATTGTCAGAAAGAACAGAGGTCCCATTTTTATACAGTCTAACTAAATTTGATCAAAATTTAGATGTTTAGGTATGAAATCTGTAGAAAAATTGATAAATCTACAAATAAGATAAATCTTTATACATTTTACCTTTTATGAATATTGAACTAATAATATGTATTTGGAGACCTGAAAGTATTATTCACTATGCTATAGACCCACAGGTCTTTTGTAATACATTTTTATATTTATAATTTAATGTAACTTCTATTGAAAATCTTTACTTAATATTTATTGGTACTTTTGAAAAATATTAAAACTAATCAATACTTTATTAATTGATAGTTTACCAATTAGTACTTTATCAAAAATTTCAGTTTAGTATTTAAACATAAAAATTAATATCAAAACTGAAACTAATGATTAGTAATAATATTTTCAATACCAATTGAAATCCTATTATAAACTCAAAATATTTCAAGTTTCAGATGTTCTAGAAAGATATAGTTTATATTATTATATTTTTATCGCAATGCTCTATCCATAGAAAATGCTTGTGTCACTTGTGTAACCTATTTGCATTACTTATATTACTATTAATACTGTTATAATATCAAAAAAGATATTTAAAATTGATATAAAATAAATAAATATTAGAAAAAATGTAATAAATAATAAGATAAAAGAATACTTTATTTATTTAAATTTCTAAAATTTTCAAAATTCCATAATCCTTTAAGCTTCAATTATATTTTAATTGAACAATATTACTATACCAGTAACATAATATATATTTCTTTACTTTTTTACAATAGTTGTATTTAATACTATTTATAATTTATAGTAAACAAATGTTTTACTAAATAAGAATATAATTATATAAGCATGACACAATTAAATTGCAAAAAGTAAATTAAATTCCAAAAAATTTATTTTATTTGTTATTTCTATTCTAATTTATTAAACTTACTTGTAATTATATAATAAACTTGAATATTAATTAATAATAATAGTAATAATAATCATTAATTTTATCAAATATAAAAAAATTTTTTTATCACTTATACTAATAAATAAAAACGGTTTGATAATATAATTATTAAATTATTAAATTGATAAACTAATCTTTTTTGCTCTGCTTTTTAAAAATTATTTTCTAATCTAGGTTATTTTCATTACTGATTTGCACAATTGCTGTACAATCGCTGTACGGGGAACATCATCCATGTCATTTATTTTTGGTAATAAATCTCTGCTAGGTGAAGTACGAACAAATGAATTATAAAAATCAAAATATTATTAGTCAACCGAATAACAAAGCAGATTTTAAAAATAGATTTTTTTTTCCCAAAAACGGGTCATGCCTATTTAATTTTAAGTGACTACTTTTTTAGAAAAAGGAGATATGAATTTACTTTAGATAGACAACCCTAACTCGGAAAATATGATTAACAAGAAAAATAAATAGTGCATTTACATTTACATTGCAGATACGTAATGAATCAGACTAAATATATTACATTTTTTTTTTGATTAAATATCATCACATTACTGTTGATCCTCCTGATCCTCCTCTATCACCACCGTGCTTCCTCTCTCGGGGTCTGAATTGAAAGAGCGTCCATCAAGAATTTCGTTCAGCTCATCCTTTTCAAATTCCTGTTTTTGGGCATCTTCATTACGAAAACCCATGACCATGTTGGCCCACTCAAAGAAAGATGACCTTTTCATTGATACTTTAAAATCATTACCAAAAGACTGTTTGGACGAACTGTACTTTTTATAAGGGGGTGGCACGCCTGTGCCAGGGGTTCCGGGAATACTTTTTTTGCTTCCTGAACCACTGCTTGATCCGGTCTTTGAATTTGTTTGATTTTTCCCTTCAATGACTCTAACTATTTCGGCGTCAACAGTCACCATATAGCTCAATATTATAGTTAAAAAGTATTGGAAAAAGCCACGGGTGCCATAATCATCTAAATTATTGTTAAACGAATATTGGTCTGCTAACAAATAGGCTATCGTAAGTACATTCAATCCTAAAGCCACTCCTAAACGAACGAAATTCCAATACATGACCGCTGTAAATAATGTGCGTTTTGATTTTCTGTTCATGCTAGATCTGATTTGCGCGGCATTTTTATTTGCTTTTCGGAGGATCATGACCAATCTGGTCGTAACATAGACGTCAATCAAAGTGTCAATCGACAAAAAGATTACGAGTGGTATGAATTGTGAATTGGCATTGGCATAGCATGAGTTAAAAGACTTGTAGATTGAATATAGGGAAGGCTTAAAAACATATATAAAAGGTTTGGAGAAGTTTATTTGCACGATCTATGGTTTCCATAAAGTTTGGAAAAAAAAATGAAAATTTGCTATTGACGTATTCAGAATAGACAATAATTTATATACTCACGTGAGCCGTAACCCTTATGATTATTAACACAAAACTTATCCACTTATCATAATCTAATGGCATTATCTGTTTTAATCGCCATAATAAAAACACGCTCAAAGTAGTTTTATTAATAAGAGAGGCTACATTCGAGAGGTAGACTATGGCCTTACACCCCTCAGTAGTCAAATTGTAGGGAGAGGCGTTTCCAAGAAATCGCATGATAAATATAATCATTCCAGCAAAGTTGAAAATAATTTTAAGGAGGTTGGATCCATTTGCTTTACGAGATTTGTATAATAGGATGGATATAAAAAAATTGTGAAGGTATATCTGTATTGAGAAAATAAACCACGGATAAGTATTTAATATCTTAAAATTAATTTGTGATATTTGAGGCTCACCATGATTGCAGCACCATAAAACAAATCATTTAATTGAAGATATTGTTCTTTTCCCAACATTTTTTTTTCAGATTTAATTTTTAGCGAAAAAAAATTCTGAAAACCTTGTATTCATTTATTAATGAATAGGTTTTTTTAGAAACCAAAAAAGGTGAAAAAGAATTACACCATGTTGTTCTGAGAACAATATTAAAAAACCTATCTGTAATGATAGTATTGTACTCATAGTTTACACAAATATAATATCAACTATCGACAAATATGGAATTTTTTTTAGCGTCAGATGAGATATCATTTTATCTTCTTTTCATTCAGGATCACAGGTTATCAACACTCAAGTATCATGTCCAAACAAAACCTTATTACATTATCAGGAAATATTTCTTCACAACAAGAAGCAACAGCAAGCCTTCAACATGCTCTACTACTTAATATCATCCTTATAAACAAAAAAGCATTATATTGTATATCAATAATTTATCCAAACCAAACAAAAACATTCTAACCATTCTTCTTCTAACAATCGCCCTATTAAATGACTCATTTTCATCACAAATATTATCAGATCAAATTCGAGAACTTATTAGTATTTCAAACTTTACAATCTTAAATAATTAAAAATTCTTCTTATACTGACTTTAATTTCTTAAAAAAAATCCTTATATTATTTAAATAAATTTTTGAATTTTAACAACTTATTTCAAAAAAGTTTTTGCTAATAATAATCAACTTAAAAACAAAGTTCTCCAAAGAATTCTAACAAAAAACTGAAATTATTTTAAGCATATTTTCTGAAATTTAATTCAAATCATAAAATATAAAAAAAACAAAAAATATATTTTTTCATAGCAATTTATTAGCTTAAAAATACAAATCAATTATTTTTTTTTACAAGTTATATCTTTTATTCAAATATTGTTATCAGTTTATATTGTAACAATCCAAACACCAAGTCATAATATAATTCTAAAATTTTTGAGTCTTGCTATACTACCAATCAATTTAAAGCCACACCTTATTGATATTTGAAGAATTCAAAAATTATTAATTATCAAGTATTCTAATACTACTATATTTGGATCATAAGAAATCTTTATATATTAATTTGATACATAAGAGACTTTGTTTTCTTTTCATTATTTA